GTAACCTCGAATAACTCATCATAGACCTAACGATCTCCATAAGAGTCCTATTTTTTCGCTATGCAACCCATTTCTTTTGGGGCGTGCCGGGTGCCGTTAGTTGGGATTCAATCCCAGCTTCCGATAAGTATGTCCTAAACTTTCCAAAGAGGTATTCGCCACCTTGATCAGAACGAAGTGACTTGATACTCTTACTATGAAGCTTCTCCACAACTGCCTGATACTCCTTGAATTTCTCAAAGCATTCAGACTTGCGGTGCAACAGGTAAACGTAACCAAATCTCGAGTAATCATCTATAAAAGACACATAATACTCGAAATCTCCTCTATCCTGGATCGACATAGGACCACACAAATCAGAATGAATCAATCCTAGCACTTCTTGGCTCCTATACCCCTTTGCCGTAAACGGCCTCTTGGCCATCTTTCCTTCCAGACAGGATTCGCAAGTTGGATATTGCTCTTCCAATGGACCGAGAAGTCCACTGGCCACTAACTTTTGAATCCTCCTAAGGTTGATGTGCCCAAGTCTAAGGTGCTACAGATATGCTTGATTCATCTGCGAAGACTCTTTCCTCTTATTAGATGTAGTTATGACATTATTCAATTCATTTTGTTGCACTGTGGGAGAGTTTGGTTTGAGAACATATAGATTGTCAACTAATGGACTACAACATATGAAACGATTTCCAAAACGAATAATAACCATGTCATCAAACGAAACTGAAAAACCATTCATACCGAGTTTAGAAACAGAAACAAGATTCTTTCTAAAGTTAAGAACATAAAGGCAATTTCTCAAAACCAAACTACTACTATCAAATGATAAAGTAACGTCTCCCACTGCAACAGCCGCCACTTTCGTAGCATTTCCCATGTAGACGGTGATCTCTCCCTCCCTATGCCGCCTGGTTTCCTGGAACCCCTGCAAAGAATTGCAGACATGATCAGTGGCTCCAGTATCTACACACTAGGTTCTGGTAGATACAATTGCTAAACATGTTACTACGACATTAACGAGAGAGTTAGAGCATGTTTGTTTATGGAATTTTTCAATAACTTTCCAACATTTTAACTCAACCATTTTTTTAACTCAACTTTAACTCAACTCAACTATCATCAAAATTATCAATATAATTAAATAATATCAATCAATCATTCCTACACACCGCATCAATCTTAATTCACTATTCATCTACTCACATTATTTTAACTAACCATCACTTCAAATCTCTCTCTTCTACTTTTACATCAAATCAATTTCAATCATTTTATTTTAGATATTGTTTTAATATACCCACTAACAACTAACCATACCACCTTTTTCAAAATTAACCAAACCACATCAGAAAATCCAAACAAAACAATTTTTTTTTTATTTTACTTTTTTTTTAACATGCTCTTACCTTTCTTGAGGAGAGGGCAGTCGACCTTCTATCCTGATCTCGCAGCTCTAAACGACTCAACTACTTCCTGAACAGAGCTCCTTTTCCTCTTTATCCCTACGGACTTAGAGGACGAGGCCATCTCTCGTTCTGCATGAATCATCTCTTGCTCCTCATGGATAATCTTCTTAGCCGCCTCAAGTTCCCCAATCAGCTCAGCCACCGGTATATTCCAAAGAACATTGCTGTAACTGCGGCATAACTGACTAAGGTCCTTATGCAGCGAAAAGAGTATTATGTCTGTCTTGATGCACTCTTCAAAGCGTGCACCCTCAGACTCCATGCGAGTGAACTGCTCAACTAGCTTCTGGATATGTTCCCTTACGGAAGTGCCCTTAGCCATGGTGTGATCGACATGACAATGTCTAAGTTCCCCATCCAATCAAATGGTTTGGAATTAGTAAGTTGATTTTCTTTTAGAATGACATACAACGGATTGAACGACATGATGAATATCCTGAGAATCATGCAAGTAATTTTACAGATTAAACACATTTGAATTTAACAACTAATATTGATATCCTCAAAACAATATTAACTTAAATTCACCGACATCTCAAAACACCATGAGTAATGCATGATACGAGGGTAACCCTATAAAACTCAACATTCGCTAGAGAAGGGCTTTTCAATAACCCATTAATTTTCATAAGTCAATACCAAATTCATGACGAAAAATTAATAGTCGGTCTCCATTTGGCCATGCAATAACGAGGGGGTTTAATAAATTTAATCGCATTCTAAGTGAATCCCATTTCTCGGTCCTAAGGTCGTCAAATTTGATTATACGTCATCCGAGGAAAACCCGTACGCTCTCATAAGATTTCCTCTAACCGTCTAATTAGAAATTTGTCCTGGTAATTACCTACAATTAATTTAGCAATGTCACCCGAGGGGGAGCCCATTACCGCAGCTTAATCGATTTACTGGCAAACTAGAAATGGAGGCATTAGGAATTTTACAATTAACTTTAATTTAAAATCCCTTCTCAAACTTAGTATTATTTTATGAGGATTTTTAACTATTTATGCAATTCTAAATTAATCTATGTCAATGCAATAATTAATTAACATGTAAAAAAAATTATACAATTCTAAATTAATCACTGCCAGTGCACTAATTAATTATCATGCATAATTTATTGATACAATTCTAAATTAATCTTATGCAATACATAAATAATTATCATGCATAATTATTCTTGCAATACTAAATTAATCCCATGCAAGAACATAATTAATTTACATTCATAAATAACAATTAATGGCATAATGAATTTAAATAAATAAATAAATCTACTATTATGGCCATTAAATATTAAGTCTCCTTAAACAAAGAAACTATGACAGTTCTTTCCCTGTTCAACTGGAACTCCTTTAGCAGTAGACTCCTGGTTGATATTGTACTGCTGGGTCATCAAGGAAAAACCTATCCACCTTCCCTCAGCTGCCGCCTGGCCGCCGTCCGGCCGACAGCCGCCGCTGCCGGTGGTCGAAAAAGCGCACCGTTTTTCAAGGCTCGTTGATCTCTTGCAATCTCCCGGTCATCAACACACGATCACAACACGAAAAATATAATTTACAAAATTACATAATTCGATCCTAGATCCAACGAATGGATGTACATGTTTTCTAAACAAATAATTAAATCTATTCGGTCAACCACCGGGCGAATAATTATTACAAATATTCATCCATCAATTCCTCAACATGTCCGAGGCTTTAAAAACAAATTTAAAACCATACATCACATTCAACAGCATTCATCAAACACATAGTCGGCCATAATAGTGGATTAACTATTTTCCAGAAAAATCGAGTTATGCAAATATAATCCAATATATGGCTGCATTTGAACACATCTTGTCAAATAAAGCCATAAAGTACAAATGATTTTTTTTTTACGAAATGATAGAGATATTATATATAACGCACAAATGTGAATAAAGCAGCCACCAGCTGATTATAAACAGCCAACAACTGAATACAAACAGCCAACAGCTGAATACAAACAGCCAATAGCTGAAAAAGTGGGAGGACAGGTCAAAAGACCGCCTAGAACCGACCCCAACAGGGTAAAACTCTAGAAAACTAAAAAACACACAAAACAACAAAAAAACAACAACACAAGACCCCCACAGGGTAATTCCCGAGTGTCGGACACCCACAGAGTAATGAAAATGACACTCGGGTGCACAGAGGCTAACGGCCCAAACCTAAAACACAACGACAAACACAAACACAGATACGAACACACTAAACAAGAACAACAAAACAATCTACTACAAAAGGTAAAAATGAATTATAAGCCGATAAAAAGTTTAATGTACATATAAATAGACATAGTTTTATAATAAAAAGGTTATACATTTATGGATTCAAAATACATATATCTTGAAAAAGGTAATAATAATTTTTCAATTATATTGAGTTCCTTACTAATCGTATCGCCTTGTAATATGTATTCATCAAACTAATCAATATATTATATAGATATTCATGATATCACAGATTGATTGGAAGAATATGTTCAATAACATATGATATTTTTGTCAAATGACTCCCTTCAAATTAATAAATAAATAAATAAATGGATAAAAAATTATGTATGAAAATGCAGGGAATCGAACCCCGTATTTCATAGAAGATTAATTGAATTATAACCGTTGAGCTACATCTCCTTTTTGTTCAAACCATCGTTTATATGTATATATAAATCGTTCGTCGCCAACATAATAAAAACACACATATTCAAATAGAAAATTGTGAAGAAAAATAATATAAAACATATTTATGATTTTTTTTTTTTAATTTTTTTGCAAGTGACAAGAGATGGACTTGAAATTTTCAGTGTACTTCAAAGTTATAGTTTTTATTTTTTTATTTTTTAATTTGTAGGTACAAATGAATTATAAGCTGATAAAAAGTTTAATGTACATAACAATAAACATAGTTTAATAATAAAAAAAAGGTTCTAGATTTATGGATTCAAAATACATATATCTTGAAAAAGGTAATAACAATTTTTCAATTATCTTGGCTTCCTTACTAATGGTATTGCTTTGTAATATGTATTCATCTAACTAATCAATATATTATATAAATATTCGTGATATCACAGATTGCTTGGAAGAATATATTTAATAAAATATAATAATTTTTGTCAAATAACTCTCTTCAAATTAATAAAATAAATAAATAAATAGATAAAAAAATTATGTACGGAGATACGGGGAATCGAACCCCGTATTTCTTAGAAGATTAACTGAAATACAATCGTTGAGGGGATGTTTAGTGGTGGAACCAGATGGATCCAAGGGTGTTCTTGTGCTTATGTGGTCATCTGAAACTTATATCTATCAGATCAAGGAGTATGACTTTAGTGTGCAGGTGGAATACCAGATAGAAAAGGGAGGGGGTTCTGAATGGATATCCTTTGTGTACATGAGCACTGATAAGAATATTAGGCAGGCTCAATGGCAAATTCTGGAGAGAGATTAAAAGAGTTGGGGGGGAGAGGTGGTGCATAGTGGGGGACTGGAATGAGATTAGTAGTATGGAGGAGAAGAAGGGAGGCAGAGTTAGAAGTGACAGAAGTTTCCAGGAATTCAACAGCTTTATTGCTAGGATGAGTATGCTTGAAGTAATGCAGGGGTACCAGTACACCTGGGTTAATAACAGAGACAATGAAGGCTATGTGGAGGAAAGGTTGGACAAGGCTTTTGGGTCTATGGGGTGGATAGCTGATTATGCAGGAGCAAAGGTATTAAATTTATATAGATCAGCTTCAGATCACGGGATGCTTATTTTGGATAGTGATGGTCAGCAGCAGAAGAAACCTAGAAGATTTTCCTTTGACAAGCGGTGGATCAAAATGGAAGGGTGCAAAGAAACCATTGAAGCTGCATGGGACAGAACACATTTTGGGACCCCTATGTTTATCCTTAAGGAAAGTATCAAACAAACTAGGGTGGCATTGTTTCAGTGGAGCAAAAACTTCATATCACAGGGGAAAGAGAGGATACAGACACTTACTCTTAAGCTAGAAGAGATGAGGGCTCTGGGGGGATACAAGAATTGACAAGAGTGGGAAAGTGTGAAGCAAGAACTTGAGTCATTTCAGTGTTCTGAAGAACAATATTGGATGCAGAAATCCATATTACAGTGGCTTAAGGAAGGAGACCTCAATACCAAGTTTTTTCATGTCTATACCTTGCAGAGGAGAAAAAGGAATGCCATTTCAAGAATAGTGGAGGGAAATCAAGTACTAGACTCTGAACAGGCTATTGAAGAGCATGTGGTGAATTCCTATCAATCTTTGTTCACATCAGAAGGCTCTATAGGAGGGAACACAGTGCTGCAATGCAATCAACCAGTCATTACTTTTGAGATGAACAGGGACCTCACTGCCCAGGTGGACAATGAAGAGATTCAGAGGGGACTTTTTCAAATGAATCCACTCAAGGCTCCTGGGGAAGAAGGCCTCACTGCTTTGTTCTATCAGCATTACTGGCCTACCATTAAACAAAAGGTGTGTGCAGCAGTTCAAAGATTTTTTACTTCAGGACAGCTGCTCAGGTTTTGGAATCACACTCTTGTTTGCCTTATTCCAAAGTGCTTAAAACCAGTCTCTTTGTCTCAATATAGACCTATAAGTTTATGCACTGTGGTGTACAAGATTATCTCAAAAATTTTGGATTCAAGGTTGAAAGAGTGTCTTGACATGTGTATTAGTCCTGCTCAGTGTAGGCAATTGCTTGATAATGTAGTGATAGCCCAGGAATCTTTTCATTTCCTTAACAGACATAGATCAGGCACTCATTGCTTTATGGCTTAAAATTGGACATGATGAAAGCATATGACCGACTTGAGTGGCTTGGGTTGAGGCAAACCATGTGCAAGATGGGCTTTGATTCCTTATTCATTAAATAGGTGATGGCATGTGTTACTTCTTCCACCTTTTCTTTTTCAGTAAATGGTAAAGCAGCTGGGTTTTTGTCACCTTCTAGAGGACTGAAACAAGGGAACCCTCTTTTCCCTTATCTCTTTCTTTTGATTTATGAGGTCTATCTTCTTTGATCAAAGCAGCTGCTGATTTGGGCATTTTCAGAGGAATCAGGCTAAACAGGGGTGGGCCTACTTTGACACATTTTGTTTTTGCAGACGATTCTTTGGTTTTTTGTAAGGCTGAACAGGGGCAAGCAAATCTGGTGAAGAGCATCTTGAATTCTTATATGCTTTTCTCTGGTCAGAAGGTTAATTTGCTAAAGTCTTCTGTGTTTTTCAGCAGAAACACTTAGGAGTCGTGAAGATTGCTATTTGCAATATCTTGAGTGGAATTCAGGTACACAGATCAACAAGGTACCTTGGACTCCCTCTTGGTATTGGAAAGTCCAAGGTTGAGGCTTTGAGTTTCTCCTGCGGGCAGTTAGACAAAGGTTGATCAACTGGAAGAATAAGTTTCTTTCTACTGCTGGAAAGGAAGTCTTGGTAAAGGTAATGATGAATTCCTTGCCTGTATTCACAATGGCTTGCTTTAAATTGCCAGTTGGAGTCTGTAAACAGATTGCTCATCTCACAGCTTCATTTTGGTGGAGCAAGGGTATTGAGAAGGACAGAAGCATTCATTGGAAAAAATGGAGTACAGTTACCATGCCTAAACAGAATGGAGGGTTAAGATTTATGGACATTCAGTTGTTTAATGAGGCCCTGATAATCAAACAATTATGGAGGATTACAAGTCAACCACATTTGCTTGTAAGTAGGGTCCTTAAATCAAAATACTTTCTTAACGCTTCAATTTTTGAATGTAAGAAAAAGAATTCAGGATCTTGGATGTGGAATTCTTGGGTTGACAGTATCCCAGAATTTGCTAAGGGTGTTAGAAAAGAGATTGGCAATAGGAGACTCACCAAAATCAGAGATATTGACTGGGTTCTAAATAGGAAGATGACAATACCTCCTGAGCCTAGGATTGTAGGACAGGACATTAAATGGGTCTGGGAATTGCTGTATAATGGAGGGACTAGGTGGGATTCAGAATTGGTGAAGAGTCTGTTCACAGAGCAAGAGAGCAGAGAAATCTGTTTGTCCCATTTTTGTGTCTTTATTTCATGTTTATTTTCTTTTTGTTTTCCCCCATTTGTAGGTTTTTCGTTGTTTATTTGGTCTATTTTGTGTTTTTCTCCTTAGTTCATATTTTTGTGTCTTTTTGCCGTGTTTTGCTTCGTGTTTTTCCTTGTTTTTGTGTTTTCAGGAGATAGGTTGTGCCGGTCGAGTTCGGACTGCTTGAGCCGAGACCGTGATATTGAGAATTTTTGTGGCCGAGCCCAGAAGACGACGAAGAGGACTGAAAAAGGGACAAGAAAACGCGCCCAGAAATTCTCGCGACTCGCGAGTCGTCTCGCGCCTCGCGACTCGTGAACATGTCGCGACCCGCGGGAAAAACTGGGGCTTAATGTGCAGTTCACGAGACGGAGTCGCGACTCGCGAGTTTAGGTCGCGACTCGCGAGACTGAGTTGCGACTCGCGAGTTATGTCGCGACCTACCACAGAAGTTTAGATTTTTGACGACGCGTGACTCGCGAGGATGTCGCGACTCGCGACCGAGAAGAAGACTGTCTCGCGACTCGCGACTTATCCGGAGCGAATTTCGAGGATGGGATTTTTAGAGCTGATTTCGATCCTAGGGCTTATTATTCAACTTTCATACTTCTTCTTTACGTTCTTTCTCTAGAGAAACTCATTCCTTTTCGTACTTTTGCACTTTTGATTTGTCTTGGAGATTGAAAAACTCCTTTTCTTCGCTTTGGATTTGGATTGTTCATTGGATTTGACATTGGGGTTCTCACTATTAATCGTAAGTCCTTTTTCTCAATTGCTTTGTTGATGATGATGGCTTGGGTTAATTTGAATGTTGATGTTAAATTCGTTATGAGTAGCTAAATCCATTCACTCGGGATAGGGGATGATTGATTAGGTTCGATAATGATTGAATGCTTTTGATTGTTCATGTCTATTCGAGTTGTGTGAATTATAGGGTTAGTAGATTGATCACCTTTCTAACCTAGATAATCAACGTGTAGAACCGAGAGGGGAGACGTTGGTCGAATTAGGCTCGTTTAGAATAGATTTGTTCGGAAACGTATAATCTGTGTGTTGTTGGAATTGATAGTTGATCGTTTACATTCACTCTCTTCTTACGAAGAGTTATTGAGAGTGAACCTCTGAACGAGAAACAATTCGAGTCCTTTAACCGAGCAATCGATTGTCGGTGATTGTGTTAGAACAGAAAGCAATTATCCCCGATTCCCTAGCACTTTACTCATTCAGTAAATTCATTTGCTATTTTGCTTTCATTTTATTTAGTTTAAATCAGTAGTTGATAATTGAAACCCAAAGAATATTGAATTAGAGTGTTTAGGAATTTTTCTTTTCTTTTTCGTGATTGAATAAACGCACAAGAGTATCCGGCTAACCTTCCTTGCGATACGACTCGGGGACGAATCTTTCGATTCTATTCCGGTAAAAATACTGACAACAAAATTGGCGCCGTTGCCGGGGAAGGTTTAGGACTATAATTGTGCGCCTATTCGTTTTTTTTAGTGTTTCTCTTATTTCTTGTGATTTTTTTTGTTTTCGTGTTTCTCTTTGTTTCTTTAGTTTAGTCTAGTAGCTCTTGCTTTCTTTAGCTTTCTTCTTTGTTTATCTGGTGCTCGTGACAGTTTCTTTTGTCTTTGTGTATGCGTACCAGGAGTGGGCGTACCATAGGACCAAACGACGAACCAAGTCACGAGAGCGTAAGGAAGCAGTTCGGCAAACTCAAACTCGATTCATCTGAAACCACAAATCCAGACATGGCTCTACAACATCGCGATCTCCTTCGGGACTTAGCCCATCCGACGATTGGGCCGATAACCTCGCGCATCCGGTTGCCACAAGAAGCTTGGAACTACGAGCTTAAGATGATCCATTACAACCAGCTGCCATCCTTCCACGGGCTCCCGAATGAAGACCCGCTTAACTTCATTCGGGAATTCTACAATGTGCTACAGACCTTCCCTCTCCACGGGCTCACAGAGGAGCAACTGAAGATGAGGTGCTTTCCTGAGACACTGAAGGACCGGGCCAAGTCCTGGTTCATGACCTTCGCACCGGACTCTCTCACTAACTGGACCGAAGTATACACGAAGTTCATTGGGAGATACTACTCCCATCAGAAGACCCAGGAGCTCCGGGCCCAAATCGTCTCATTTGCTCAACTACCGAATGAGCCTCTTCACGAGGCTTGGGAGCAGTTCAAGGATCTCCAGCGGCAGTGCCCTCATCACAACCTCTCTCCGGGGCTACTGATCAACTGCTTCTACGACTCCATCCACCAGAACTTGTAGTATATGGTTGACAATGCGGCAGGGGGAGATATCGGAGCAAAAACGGCTGGAGAGATGTTCGACATTTTCGAGACGATGAGCACAAATTCGTCACAGAAGAGCAGCCGAGGGAAGAGAGTGACAGTAAATGAGGTCGGGCAAGGCAACAATGTGGTGGCCCAACAGTTAGCCGAGCTCACAGAGCAAATGCGTCTACTTAATGCACGAGGAGCTCAGCCGGTTCAGATCATGGCCGTTGACACGTGTGGGGCTTGTGGAGTCCCAGGGCATAGGTCTGAAGTGTGCTAGTATGCAGATGCCAGCTCTCTACAGGGATACCAAGCTCGGCCTGGCAATGACCCGTATTCAAACACGTACAATCTGGGATGGCGGAATCACCCTGCTTTCTCATGGTCAAACAACTCGAACACCCTTCAGCCACCCCGTCCAAATTTCATGCAGCAACAACCTCGACCCAACTTTGTGCCCCGTCTGAACTACCAGCCACAGCAGCAGAGGGGAACGGAAGCAGGGTCGAGTTCAAACATTCAAGATGATGTTGCCAAAATCCTTCAGTTTATGGCTAACAGAGAGCAGCGAGATGTCAATCAGGATGCCTCCATCAAGCGCATTGAGACACAGTTAGGCCAACTGGCTGCTCGGGTCGGAATCATCGAGACTGAATTGAACAAGGGAAAGCTGCCTAGTCAAT